CGACCTCCTTCTTTTCTATGCACGCCTCCTCGTCTCTCTCTCTCTCTCTCTCTCTCTCTCTCTCTCTCTCTCTCTCTCTCTCTCGCGTCGCAACAGAGAGGGGCAGCGACGACAAGCGGCTCCGCGCCAAAACGAACGTCTGAACAAAACAAAAGAAGAAGGAGGTGAAGGAAAGAAAGAAACATACAGACACAGGCACATATATATATATATATCCTTCGAACTTTCTACCTGGGAGGCTGGTGGGGGGGGGACAAAAAAAAAGAAAAGGAGACGTAAAATAACGTTCTTGCGTTTCACATAAGAAAGCAGAAGTAAAGGGGGAAAAAAAACAATAATAATAAAAATAATAGTAAAGGGCGGACGGCGCGTCGACACCCAAGCGGGCTAAGCAGTGCGGCGATAAAACACACCGCCGGGCGAAGGAAGGCGAGAGCGCGCGCGTGGGAAAAAAGAGCCTGCCACCATGACGGACGAGGTTCAAATGTCGAGGCATATTATTGTCAATGGCCTCCCAAACAACGTGACGCCCGAGAAGCGTGTGCTCTTCTTGCGACACATGACGAAGAAGGTGACGGAGGTTCTCGGCCACGAGAACTTCACTATTCACTTAGTCCTGGACGAGACCACAGGCCTCGTGACGGGTGCGTTTCTTTCCTTTGGCACCGTTTCCAACGCCGAGGATGCCCTGGCACGACTCAATCTGTACCGATTCACAAAGACAGATGTTCTCACAACGTACCGATGGTCTTCCTTACAGGCGGCAGGCGGACCAAAGGAGGAGTACCACCCGCCTGAGCTGGCGGACGACGTGGACGCCGATCTCGCACACACCATGAGCGAGGACGTCATGGCGCGGCCACAGTTCTTTATTAAGCAAGGGGAGTCCTTTGACGTGGAATGGTATTGGTTTAATTACATGACCCTCAAGGAGGAGTTGTACCGAAAGCCACGCGCACTAAAGACTGATTCGCTGGGTCAATGGACAGAAATGGAGCGGCGGCAAAAGAAGCTTGGGGCCGGGCTCGTCTACGGCCCCCTGACGGCGGTGCGTCCGATGCCGGCGTGGTCGACCTTTGGCCGCATGATCATCTCACAGCACACAAGTGGCCTGAAGTTGTGGGGTGGACGGCAGATGAATCTGCTGTTCGAGGTGCCGGAGCTTGACATCACGGCGTTCCTGGTGTCACCCCAGGAGAAGTACCTTGTAGTGAAGACCCTGAACGATGTGAGCGTGTGGGATATCCGTACGGCAAAAAAGATTCGCACACTCGGCGGTCTCGATCTTGTGGACACCGAAAAGTGGCCCATTACTCGCTTCAGTGCGGGGGATTCACTTGTTGCCATCTCGCACGCTAGCCTGGAGCCTGGCGCCCCTGGTAAACTCTTCATTTACCGTGCCGAGACGATGCGAGTGCTGCAGGCCGCCGCCACCACGACGCCGATGTCGCACACATTCTCCGTCCCCGGTCTGAAAACGGTGGAGTGGAATCCGGCCGTGGAAACACAAATGGCCGTCGTCATGGAGCTCGGCGCCAATCAAGGGTGGAAGGTTACCATTCAAGACATCGTGGTGGAGGACAACCTCGTGCGTGAGGAGATCATTGCGCAGCGAAACTTTTTACAGGCGGAGAGGCTAGACCTCCTCTGGCACCCGCAGGGCACCCACCTTGTCGTCAAAATCACCAAATTACGCTCCACCGAGTACGCCCTGTTTGTTATTGGCGCGAAGAGCGCCGCTGTGCTGCAGCTGCAGGTGGAAAGAGGCCTTTCTGCCGGTCGTTTTGCGTGGCAGCCGTCTGGCCCGCACTTCGCCGTCATCTTCGACGACACTTCCAAGACGGGGGACATTGGCTCGACGTCCGAGATGCGTATTTACAACATTAAAAAGCAACTGAAGCTGCTCGGACGTTATGTGACGAGTGCGACGCATCTCTTCTGGGCCCCGCGTGGTGCCCGCGTGGTCGCCACGAACTACAACAAGTCCATCCTGCACTTCTACGGCATCAATGACAACGGCATGGTGGTTCAGCTGGAGAAGCACTCGGTGCCTGTGACGGACACGGCGTGGGACCCCACAGGCCGCTTCTACGCCTCCTGGGTGTCGGCACTGAAGAGCTCCGCCGACAACCAGTTCCGTATCTTTGACCTAAACGGCAGAGAGTTGATGAGCAAGCAGGTGCGTCAGCTGTCACACTTATCGTGGCGGCCCCTAGCACCGCCGGTGCTGACGGCGGAGGAGGTGAAGAACGTGCGCGACCACCTGAGCGAGTACAGCCAGCGGTACGAACGGGAGTTGAAGGAGCAGAAGGAGCGAGAGGAAGCCGAGATGCGGCGGGTCCTCCAGGAGAAGCAGGAGAAGTACATTAAGCGCATGCGGGATATCGCACGGTATCACCGTGATAAGGAACTGGGGACGCAGCGCGCGGAACTCATCGCGTCGTCGCCCTGGAGCCGGTTGTGGGCACGACGTATGAAGTCGCTTCCACCGGAGGAGACGATCATGCACGAAGACGTCACCGAAGAGCGCATTGTGCAGCGCCGTGCCCTCAACTAACCCACACGCAAGGAAAAAAAAAAGAGTGGAGGAGAAAATGAAAGAACCCTCCCTTCTCCTTCGCCCCCCTCTTCCCTCAGCGTCTCTGTCTCTCTGTGTGGGCAGGCATGAAGCGGCGAGGCAGCGGGAAGGGGCGAAGAAACGACGAGAAAAATAAACGGCGGAGGACGGCAACTGTTTTAATCATAT